TGTCGCCGTCGGCAGTGACACGTGTGCGCGTGCGAATAATAACCACGTACACGTTCATACAGTCCGGAGATAACTATTGTCCTGGTCTCGGGGTGTAATGCCCTATTGTGAATTGGTCACAGTGACGTATCGCCTGTCGTCAGGAAAACGACGGTTAGTTTATTTCATTTCAAATAGTCACTCGTTCTATTCGTATTCATGACCGATGCACAATCAGAAATTCGAACTTGAATCTCATCCGTCGTAACTTTGCATCGATACTTTAAGTCTAGAAGAAAAACGTTAACTGTGAAAGCCTAAAATTTTATATACTTTTTATATATCGTTAATCATTATCTTGCTTACACATCATTATACTACGTTAATCATAATTAAGAGTAGATAATATATAAGAAATTATGTTATATATAAGGAATTATGTAAACGAAGAATCAAGTAATTTATGTGCTGAAGAATACACGATTTCGATGAATCGTTTGATTAAACGTCCATTAATTTCAAATTGTATGCAGTAGATGTGATTTTAGTGCTAATCGAAAACACCTGTTTACGGTATAGGTATTTAAAAATATTCGTATTACGCAACGATTGTGAAAAAGATGAATAAATAATTCCAATGTACAACAGGTTTTATATTCTTGATACTGCGCCATTCGTGGAACACTTATTTTCGTAATATTTGATAGTTTGTAATCACCTACTAATAGATCCGTATGATACTTGCGTGATGTTTCTGTAAAATTGTGAATCATATCCATAATCTAGAATTTTATAAATAACCAGAGCTCACACTTTGTTTTTCTAAATAGCAAAAAACTGCGATTTATTTCATTTAAGTACATATTTCTAATATAAATTTTGTTTCGCTGATATAGTATCGCGATTTCGATATCAATATTTAATCGACAATACTTGTGCCATTTCATATATTCTATATAATAATCAACGTGCAATAAAAAGCAACTGTATATCGTGTTTTATTGAAGATAAATACATCGTTTAAGATTATTGGCAATAACTTCAGTCAAATCAAATCAGCTCATATTACATATTGATTTAATAAATGATGTTTGAACGGAAACTGTATTTCTTTAATTTGGAAAGTACAGCTACATATTATCTTTAAATATCAATTTTGAATATTGCAGACATACGAGTATGTAACTTTTTATTTTCTTTATTTGACTGAAACCGAAACATTTTATCAATTCATTTCATCAATTACATAGCTTATTTTGAAAAGTACTATTTCTAAACTAAAAAGTATCAAGTACGCGTAATTATTGTTCAAATATTACATTGAAAATAGCAGGCAACGCAAAGTAAGATATGTATGAAATTATAAGAATCAATCTCTGTAAACTGTTAACGAAATATATGTTCCAGTGTGGACACTAAAAGCATATTTACCATTGCACGTGATTACCAGTGATATTTATGTTTGCTGTTAACATTTGTTGCGTACTGCAAAACATTTCAGGTTTATTACATAGCCAGGCGTGCGTTGAAAGTGATATTGCCGGAAGTTCAGGCAGGGTAAACGGGCCTTAATTGTTACATCGGAGAAGGTACTATGAAAAAAGGACGGTAGGAAGAAAAAAGATATAAACTTGACGCGTTTCTACGCGTTATGTAGATCTAGCGGTACGTGCGGGCGCACAAACGAATCACTCACGTTTCCTGTAAATTGCGGATTCATGGTTTATCGGCGCACAGCCGAAACGTTTTACTGCTCGGCGATGCGCGATAACGCCGTGCTGACAGCGGAATGTCCCGACCAAAATGAATCCAGCGAGTACACGCGAGACGCATATGCGGGAAACGTATTCCCCTGTGTTTTGTTTTTCGCGGCCGTGCCTGGAATATCGGATATAGCCAGTGGCGTAGGGCGAAAGGAGACCAACGTGCCTGGAGAATTTGCGCTGCACCCCCAGAAACAGGAAGACGTCTCTGCTGACAGTGTACCGGCGCGTTCGTTATCGTGACATTCCTACTAATGTAACTGTGTAACCTACGACGTATGAAGATAGACGGGTATGCATGCCGTGTTAAATATTCTTTCTGCGGGCATGCCGTTGCAGCGTACCGTGTTAAATATTCTTGCATATTCCGTAGACACGTTGCGACGACACGCACGCATGTTACTCTTAATACAACGTTATGGAGAAACGACGCTCCGCGATTTTATCTTCATTGAATGTAATGGTCTAAATGCTGCAAGACTCTTTGTTCTTTTTACTTCTATACAGACATAAATAGATTTCTTTCGGAGGATCCATTTTCCATAAAAGAGGACGATTTCTCCACGATACTTTGACTAGATTGAAGGCACGGATCAAACTAACAAACGGATACGTCTGCTCTGTTTTTGTAGATTAATATTCAGACTGAAACAAAAAGATGTAAATATTGAATATATCGTATGGCAGTAAACCGTAACAGTAATTATTATTTATTCTTCACAAAGTGCTCAAAATATTTTATTATGTGATTACTGTTCAACTCAATCACATTGACAAATTCCAGCATTATGAACATTTATACAGCTATTCTTTCACTGCAGAAATTGATTGCATTCTTTTTGCACAACGGAAATTATTTTGGTAATTATCTAGAAATTCAATATCCTTATTTACTTGGGTATTCTAGAAATATATTGTCAAGGTCATCATTCTGAACAATTTTTTTTTTGTAACAACCGCTCAGCTTTGCTTTTCAAGTTATAAAACAATTTGTGTTTGATATTACATACTATTATTTAACGATTTATTTTATAATTTTTTGTCCTGTAAACAATTTTTGAGTGACGGTAGATATATTGATACATTTTTGAGCAATTGAAGATCAGAATAAAATGCAACATACCACATATTAATCGATTCATAGGAAATTATTTTACACTATTCTACCCTAAGTCATAACTCACTGGTTTTTCTTTGTTATTTACATGATATTAAAATGCGGCCACCTATGAAATGTAATCGTAATCTACATTCAATTGAAAATATTTTGGAAATTAAGTTCAAGCGGCGGTTATTTGTATAAGAAAAAATTGTTCAAAATGATGATCTTGATAACTTATTTCAGAGGTACCGAAATCGGCCGACGAAGACGAAACAATAATTATTTTTTATACATGAATTTCTTTATTTCTAGTGGAAATAAATTTAATTGTAATAAAAACAAAGATCAATGTAGGTACACAAAATATTTTTGACTTACTTTTTGGAATAAAAGCGCTAACACCTCATTGGAAACGAATATTTTCAATTTATGTACTCTGTATATTAAATATTACTGCATATGTATTCTAAATTTTGATTACTACTCTATCTGACTACACGAATTATAAACAATTTCCTGTTATTAATTACACCAAGGATAATTATGAAAATTTATTGAATTAAATTTGCATATGGAAAACAATTTAAATACCAAGAGACGTAACTGATACATATCTAACATCTAAAAAGGGAAAAGAACGGAGAAAATTCTCTTGTATATCATTGAAGTCGTGCTTTAAAATTTCGTTATTTTATTTACATTTCAATAATTAATTTAAGCCATATCCCTTTATTAACCGATACGCTATTTATCAAAGCACCAATAGATTCCAAATCAAAATCTCCGATTGTGATATAAGGCAGGTGCTCATTAGTAATAAATCAATGAGATATTAATAATATACATTATATCGATGAATTATAGTTTCGGTCTTCACTGTTTTAATACAAAAGAAATTAATATATACGTATTAAATTATACGTATTTCAAAGTGCACATGTCAGTGGGGCATTAAAAATATACTGTCATTTATCATGGAACACACCACCGTCTAGCGAAACATAAATTACAATTTCCCTCCTAACCGGATTTACAGTATTTTGTTTGATTCACACGTAGTGGTCATTAATTTAATATCCAATTAAGCTTGTACTGGTTTCATTGAACGCGTACCGTGACCCATTAAGTGTAATTGCCTGATATTTATTTGAACGATATTGACAAATGCTCACGAATTTAGAAAGTACGATATGAATAATGTTAAATTGCCTTTGTTAGCAATAGTTTCATTTTTACATGCCTTCAAGAAAGTATCAATATAGAAAATATTCTATTCTCTCTTGATCATTGATAATGAACGGTAATTATACAGTATTTTCAGTTGATCATTGATTATGAACGGTATTTAAGAATGTGTATGTATATATAAAGATCTAGGATAGGTATCTACACTTAGAAATATCTATTTTAAAAGATATCGCAAAAGGATATAATAGCTAAAGAAAAACGCAAAAATATCTATTTATGATCTTGTTCCACTTACGAATATTTCCTACTTTTATGATAAAAAGATATACAATCTCCCAGGTAAGAAACTACTGTAATTTTATTGCCTGACAAGAAAGTCGAATAATTGTTTCACGATTGTTTTGAAATTTATTGGCATACACACCTCTCGTTAACGAATACTAATAAACTTTCCGTTTCTCAATAATCAACCCATAAATTAGAAATGAAAATTATAGCAGAACCATGACGAAGTAAAAAACAAGTGGGTCGGCTCTATCTAACACTGATAATTGCATTGTCGCATTAATATCTACGTATCTAACATAATGCAGTTTCGAGTCTGAAGACAAACGATCCAATCTGTTAAGAGTGTGCCACCCCTTGATGTGTACGCTTTCAAACCACAGTTATAATATATTCCCCGAGGTCAAAATTTATTATCCACTAAAATACCTGTATTGCTGCAAGAAAGCGGCTGTTGACTAGAAAAAGCCACTGTTATTAATTCGCATTAACTTAATAGCTATAAGAGAGAAAAGGAGAGGGTGAAGGAAGAGGGGCGGGAGGAAAGAGGAGTGTAGACAGAAAGAGAGAGAGTGCGAGGCCGTAGGGGGGAATAAGGTCACGCCAGAAAGTGAGTAATGAAGGCGGTTTATCTCCGAGGAGTAACTAGCGGTGTTCGTGTAATGGGGGCATTCATCAACGCGATCTCACATCGCCTTTCCGTTCGCGTTTCAGAGTCTCATGACGATTTGCACTACGAACGGACGGTGAGAAACGGAGCTGAAACGATTTCTTTCTGCGCGCGTCTTGGAAAACCCGTTGCCACTTTGCCACGTAAGATTAATGTCGTCGAAGCGGAGTTTTCGGCACCATTAATTTTTCTGGCACATTTATTAATTTTCCGTACTCGGCAGTCGTTCAGCACAGAGTTTAAGATCTTGACGTTAAGCTGACGAGCAATCGTCTTTCTTATTCCTATTTCCTTTTGCATCTTTCTTTCGACGTTTTTTTATTCCAACACACGTATAGTCATAAGATTGGATCATGTACTGTGTGATATACGATTACAATTAAAAGTTACATTATTTCTTCAAAATTTATCGTAGGTAATGAAATGAGAAAGTTTATAATTTTGCTTAATTTATCTTTCTTACATATTCGTTATCACTTAATCATTTTTTATTCTATTGTAATCGTGTGTTTAAACAGTTCAAATTTATTTTATCGATCATGCAAAATCTATGAAATTTTACGTTGTACGTTTAATAGTAGAACGCACATTGTTGTATATGATACAACGCGGCACTGCCACTATGTGACATCAGGAGGATAACGGCAACAATAACAATAACAACAACAGCGAAGCATCAACGACGAACACGATATACACGCGCTGAACACGCAACAAGCACAGCGGGCAGCCATATTATTACCGTCTTTTCGCAGTCCGCGCCTCTGTAATTATGATTTTATTTTTATGGACATAAATTATACAGGCTGCCTAGCTGTGTCATTATACGGCATTTTAATTCAAGGTTGTAGACATAATGGTAACCCGCACCACGGACTCGCTGCTCACCTGCCCAGTGAAGAGAGGAGAAGAAGGAAGAAACGTGCACGTCAGGGGTAAGGAGGGAATCTCGCTAGTGGGGAGACGGCCACTTTGCCTCTTGTTACCTGTACGCTCCTGCGTTTATTTTTCTGCTTCCTTTGCACTCTCATTTCCTTGCTTTCCGAGCTGACGATCAATCTACATAACGCTCGACCTTTTTTCAATTTGAATTATTGCTCACGAATATGTTCTACGAATTGGAAATACGTCATCTGCGTTCGTTTATTTTATATAAGATAAGATTGAAGTCCTACCGTTAACGGAAGAAGACTTTCTGCTTTCGCCACTGATACATCGTATTATATATATACATCTATATTATTCCACATATATAAATCTTTTATAAAATTTCAGAAAAATTCAACAAGGAGTAGCTTGCAAACAATATGTTTGTTACTTTATAATAGAACTTGGTAAAAAATTAGAATAAACATATCGTTTTCTTCTCCTATAAAATTAGTTAAAGGTAAAAAATGTTAATAATGCAAACAAAGCATTGTAAACTAATTACAATATTTTACTCACGTCAAAATGGTAATAGATAACTTGTGTAATATAAAATTATACTAAATCGTGTATCTTCTAATTTATCCAACTAAATTATGGCTTTAAGTATATATCATATGTTCGTGTTTAACACTTTAATTAATATAAGATGAACTATTTTTTAGTTTCTTTTTGTTTAATGAACGTGATGAGTATTAAATTTGCTTTATCTACATAAAGATCGGAAGGATATTTATCATACTAAAACACATAACTACATAAAGTAAAAAATAACTGAGTAAATTACGATATCTAATAGTAATCTCGCATAATACCTAAAAGAAAGTATAAATCTATTTTTAACGAAAACCAAAACACAAGTGGAAGGAAAGATGGTATCGTTTCGTATGGCCTGCATGTTTATCTCTATAATATGCGAGTTTTTTGTACTTCCGTTTCCTTGTAATTCTAACAAGCGTGATCACGGACTGATTAAATCGTGTGACGCTTTGCCCACGTACGTAATTATATAACTTTTTAGTGAACATTGATTAATTATTCTCACTCGCGTCATTAAGGGAACTTCCGTCAGAGTCACTAAAAAAGTTTGCGCAAACATTCTACTCCGTTAAATTTGTGGAATTATGAGATCTTATTTTTTAATGACATTAGCAGATATTACGAATAATCTCAGAAATTTTTCGTAATATTAATTTGCAATGGTATGAGATTACTCATAACTTATCTATATAATTCAAAATGGAAGGAATAACATTTGTAACTTATAAACGGCTTGCTTATAATAGAGATTATATTATTCGTAAGTACAGAAAATTGCAAGAATTATACAAATTGTAGCAATCCGAATCCATTTTGTAAATATTTAAATACTTCGCATTTAATTTTTAACTGTACAATACATATTACGTTTTCATCGATATCCCGAACATCTCTTGCCTAAGAGTTTATTCAGCGCCATACACGTGAATGATATTCCTCAAATATTGTATGACTGTAATTTAAGTGCAATTTTAAAAGGCAGTACAGTGCTTCAAGGTCCTGGTGATTACGTAGAATAATTATGTAGCGGTCCGTTGTTACGTTATTACGGCCGCCGGAATTATACTTAATTTGTAGTCATAAGTATACCCTACTTTGGTTTACTTTTGACAGTAATTCGTACTTTCTTGGAACTGCCGCTCCTATTCTGAACAATGACGCCTCCCTAAGAATCCGGTAATTCATTTCGTACGATTGCGTCAAGAACTTTTACCGCTTGTCTCGTAGACTATAATACTTCGAATCCTATAGGTAGAATTTGAAAACTTAACTTTATTCTTTTGGCTGTCTTTTTTTACAAATAAGAGAATTACCCTTCAATTACTAAATATCTTGAAGTATTAAATTCGGTAACGTAAGTAAATAAAAACTCAAACAAAAATATTACTTTTTTAAAGTGTTTGTAACGACGAATAGCAAAATCATACACAATAATTTGATGACATTGACATATAACTGGGTAATGAACTAATTTTAATTACGCATTTTAGGGAAAATATTGAATTCAGTGTCACTCTTGTTTTCCATGAATTCAGGAAAGAAACATATTATTCACATATTTGCGTCATTTTAGTGTTAAATATACTTCTCTCGTATTTACAAAATTATGAAACTATGAAACGACTTCCATTTTAAGACGATTAAAATTAGTGTACAAAACGAAAAGGTTAGCATTTATAATTTCAATTTGTTTTATAGAATTTGATCAATGATGCATCACTACTCAACAAAAATAAGACGATATTTTATTTGAAGGACGATACAATCAATTTTGTTTCAAACAGATATGTACATATATAAATCGCTTATAACACATAAACGGTGAAATGTCACTGGAAACAAACATTAGAATGATAGATATTTTCGAAAATTCGTAAACAAATGCTGACATAAAAAAAGAAGAAAGAAAGAAAACAGAGGAAGTGGGAAGAAGAAAGAAAAGAAAATTGGCTAGAGCGACTATTATTGATAAAACTAAAGTGAAAGGGTAAGGACCAGTGACTCTTGTTCTTTCAAAAATGATCATCGATCCTGTCAGTTGAGATAGAACAAAATCGGGGGTTCGTTCGCTTTTTGTCGATGAATGGGACAAGGATCAACACGTACGGTAGTCGGTAATACTCGATGTTGCGAACGCCCGGCAGAGTGGCAAGCTGTCAGCCCGCCGCCGTGCTGTCAGTCTCCTGTCTGGTTGCTGTCTATCTGTCATTCACTCACTCAACCCACTCATTCGGACAACCCATCTCCCGGACTTTTTTGGCGTTCTCCTACCTCTTTTTTTTAATCTCTCTTTTTCGTGACTGATGTTCAAACTCGTTGGCCCCGTTACAACGCCGCCCGTACGCATCTGCCTGCGAAAATATTTTTTCGGCTCGTGCTAAGCCAACCTCCAACGATATCCAGCCGCGTTGTCCTGCGAAAAATTCATTCCAGATGCGCGACGCACTCACTGTGATCCGAAATTGTTTTCGCTACTCTGCCAGACCAATAATCATCCTGTCATATTAATTAGCATTGAATATTTTTAAAAGATCAATAAGATGAAATAAAATCGGTCACAAAATTGTAAAAAATTTTCAGAATTTAGTATTTAAACGAATTAATCGAATTTTTCGTTCCTTATTCATTTATTTGTAGTTCGTATCGAAAAAAAAAACGGGATCATTTTCGTTAAAGTAAGAGTTGGAGTTTTTATCAAAAGAGATCAAGGAGAACAGATGTAATTAAATTAAACAGTTAACACTTCCTAATTCTGATCCTGATTTAGTTGCTACTACGTCCGTAATTCTTGTCGATTTTTAGGTTATACAAGTTATTTGAATGTAATTATTTTTCAATTTAGAACATATGAAGGCACAATAACATATGAATTAATATCGTAATTACATTTCTCAATATTTATTGCAGTGGTAAATGTATCTGGACGTTCGTCATCATCGATTACGTAAATTAAACGGAAAACGGAACTGGCTTTTGTCTAGCAGGAAGAAATATGAAAATTTTGCGACACAATGCAACGATACACAGAATCTCGACCCCTTCACACACTTACAGACGGTTTGGATATAAATCACGCGGATTTACGGCCTCAGTTAAAAAGGGTAACGCAATATTTATAGTCATCTCGCACAGTTACATATAACAAATTGAACTTTTATATAAACGCGCTCACGTCCAAAGGCCTTATGGCAGGCACAGATTTTAATTATCGATATCGATTTATTGCCAATACATATTAATGCAGCAGCAAGCTACCTCACATACGGGTGTTTATTCATATTGATGGAACCAGATTGAAACATAAACCGGATATGCAAACAACTACAGGTTTAATCGTTCGATAGTGCTCGATAAAAAAAGTAATTTTACACACGAATTGACGCAAAAATTATTATTCTACATCATTCGCTTTCTACTTATTATTAAATTATTCCAAACCAAGTATACACAATATGAGATTGTGGAATTCCAGAAAAACAAAAAATACTGATAATTGGTTTCGCGAGGAAATAATTAAATTTGCTTGATATTTGAATATATAAATCAATATGCAAATATACATTTGTGCTCTTTGTGAAACTCTAAAGTGAGAGTAAAAGATACGAAGAAAATTATATTCAATGAGATAAAAACATATTATAAGAAAAGGCATAACCACAAAATCGTACACAATGTATCATATTACATATCATAAAAACAATATTGAAAGAACGAAAACCAATAAATCACTATAAATAATTATTTTATTAGGAATATCTTCGTTTAACCAAATCTTCTTTCAATAAAAGTCTGTACTTTTTTATTATATTTGTACTATGTTATTATATTTCTAGTAACAGTGTTGGGAGCATGTTATAGAAGAGGTAATGAGTTTCAGCTTGGTACTGTACAAATTCGTAATTGTATAAAACAGGAAATCTCAGGCGCGTTAATTAATCTCTTGTTTAATTAACCAACGCGGATGGAGGTATCTAACAATGAGAGCAGTAAGTCATTTCAGCACAAGGAAAATCATGTAGCGAAACTGAATTATACCAATTTACACACGCGAAATAGTCATTAAAACATGATCCGGATGTTGAATGCACAGGACTGAAAAATACATATATTGTAGATAATAAAACACGGTGCATTTGAGGACATTGACGAAGTCTCAATGATAGCTGGAAACAGACGCTACAAGGAAAAAGATGTGAAGAAGCGGAACTCGTAACGACTAACGATTCCGTCCATTTTCTTTTATAACCTTCATTACAGCACAAAAATCAACCATTTTCAGTGCCTGCTGAATCTTTGACACGTACTTACACGACAAACTGTTTATCTTTAGATTGTTCCTTACTTCTCTCTTTGTACATGATTTTAAATAGAACTTAAGAGGTTTAATTTATGTCTCGTATATTATTACTTGATAATGATTATTATCTTTGTTTTCGATGCTGTAGCTATGTTTATTACCACCGTTATAAATGACATAAAATAACATAAAGCAAACTATATTAAAGTAGACGTAAAGTTGACATAATTTTTGTATAAGTGGCAAATGACGCAATCTTTGATTAGATTGCTTCATGAGTTTCATCAGTTTTGAAAAAAAAGTTTAATTATCTATAATTTGTTTACCTAATTATCGTACTCGTAATTAGATCTACGCATATAAATAAAAAAAATCCGTATACAAAATGTCAATAAAAATTATCTACATAAGAAAATAGATTTTCATTAATTTTATTAATGTAGAATGAGGAAATACTCCACAGGAATATGCAATTATTATAAAAGAGAAATCGTTCATAAAATTTAATGACTTACATCATAACATTGGAATAATCATACACAAAACATTTGTCTATCTACAAATTAAATAACTTACAGTCCCAAGTAAAAATTGTTAAACATAAAATTTGATAGAATAATGATCGCTAGATTAATATTATGTTAAAATTTAGTAGAATAATTAAATCTGACTGTAGTTCTTAATGGCCTAGGCGTTGAGTACACTAATTTTTTTGTAAGATTTGACAGAATTATTTATCAGTCTTGCGTAATTATCAGTTTTAACGAGTTCATATTTTTCAGAAATGCTTCATAACCTCTTTCTTGTTTCTGCCAAAAAATGTTTTATTGAATCTTCTGTTAAATATTTGAAAACTGATTAAGAATAGAGTTTATACATTTGGAAACATAATACTATTTTCATTTTCCTACTATTTGTATAATAGTGTCATATACCCTTATTAAAGTTTCTTCCATTTCTTCTTTCAAATAACTGAATTGAATGATTTAAAAAATTCAATATACAACAAACGAAAAGAGAATATTTATTACATATTTAGATCAACAGTATACATATAGTAAATGCTTTCAGCTGCAATAAAGGAAGCAGACATGGCAGAGTAAATCAGTGAGAGATCGCGAAATACATATCACCATCGCTGCAACAGGGCGTGAAAAGAGCTTTACCAAATCTCTGGCAGAATTCCCAAGGAAGTCTGAAGGAGAATGATCCGTAGTAGTACAACCTTGAAAGCAGTAAAGTGGTCGAGTAATACCAAGAAAGTAAAATAACTACTTAGTTGAGTGATAAATCGATTTTCGCAAAGGACAAAATTAATTTTATGTTTTTAATCAATGTAATAACTTTATTTGAATAATATTTGATTAAAGATAATTTGAAATAACATAGAATCTTCATATATCGAAAATTAGTAAATTGTTCGGAAATAATTAATTATGATACAAACTATTGTTTTATATTGTTATTGATATTAAAAAGTACATAATTATTAAAATAAGTTAACAGTTCCTGTATGTGTGAAACATATCGTATATTGTTGATTTTTAAGCTTGCTTAAAAAGCTGATATCTATGGTAATACATGGATTATTATCTTAGCTTGAATAGATATGAAATTGATATTGACTAATAAGGAATATACCTACATATTTATCGTTGGACGCATTATTGTGATGTTGCTCAAAATAGAAAATGGATGTCCTCTATGAACCGAAAGGCAAGCATTGACTGTCAAGAAGTCAAGTGCAGACACTTTCGGCATACTTATACGGTAGGATGCAGCGAATCCCTTCGAAGTGCCATCAATTTCTCGGTTTCCCGGTAGCTAGGTAGACGAACTCGGCTGAGTAAATCGCAGCGTATCATCGTCTCTGCAACAGGGCGTGAAAGGGGCTTTACCGAATCTCTGGCAGCATTCCCGGAAAAGTCTGAAGGAAAAAGGCTCGCGGAAGGACGCGGCAGCGGGCGAGGCGAGTGAACAGAAGCAAAGGAAGGAAGATGACTGCTCGGTTGAGTAATGGATCAATTTATTTGCTGGCTGTAGGTACCTACCGGGGGTAGTAGATACGTATATAGGCGGCGTATAACAGGCCAGAGAAATGGCTACGTTGGATCCCCCGTGTGTCGGGTAGAAAGATGTGCTGCGGGATGCGGGCCGCTAGGAGACGATTTTCCTATCTCTTTCCGACCCTCACTTCTCAGCATCTTCTTCTTCCGTTCCTACTGCCGTCACCTTTTCCTCTCGCCCCTCTACCACCTATTCCTTCTCTTCGTCTTCTTTCTCCAACGCGTTGCTCAGCAGTCTCTTTCGCCAAGAAGATCGTATTTATTTCCACGGTGGTGAGAATGGATAGCGCTCCCGTGATCTATGTCTCGGCGCAGACACATCTCATTTACTCTGCGAAGCATAATTCCTTAACACTTTTTTGGGGAAAAGCGCTCATATATCTTGGTTACGCCACCAAGTCGCGCGAACTCCAACGCCTGGCACACTCGTACCAGCAATTCCGACTCTTGCTGTATCTTTCTCCGATATTTTATATTCGCCGTTCCTCTTTGGATTTGCTCGGCTCTCGGTTTGATTTAGGCTTTACGCTGTACCGTTTTGGAACCACCGTTTCGTTGTTCCTTAGCAGCTACAACGAACTGTGGCACCGTTAAAAGGTGTAACGCTTGTCATCCCATGATCTTTTTACCGTAACGTCGCTCTTTTGTCTCTTGAGATACATTAACCATACATTATGCTTAATATAAATATCCAATATCCGATTTCGATATTTCTTGCTTGATCCAATGATTCATGGCTTACCCAGTTTCTGTACGCTGTTCACAAATAAGGAATCTCACAGATAAAGTGACACGCGATACGTTATATTCATGAACAGGTTTTCGTGTTTATAGTTGCAATCTTCCTTTTCCATGTACTAAGATAAATGGCTGTTTCTGATATCGATATATAATTTGCGTAACCAGGAAGCTGATGCACGATATTCGTGCGAAAACCCGTATACATATTAAACTCGTTGACATATATCGTTTCGTAATACATAATGGAAAAAATGGAAAAATCATTTATCATATAAGAAATAGGAGCATTAGAAAAAATAGAAATAAAAGAATGTATGGACTAAAATATTTCATAGATACCATTTTTATTACAAGTGAAAATGTATTCTATGTACACATATGATCTGTCTCAAGTTTCAATTTTTACAACAATTTTATTCAATGAAATTTTAATTTTTACCGCAATTTTATTCATTGTGTTTGAAAGAATTTGTTTCTATTCTAAATGGTGTTTTTAAATTTTCGTATGACTATAAAATATTCTAGCGCTAAATAGCGTAGTATACAAAATAATAACTTTTATTTGCCAAAACGAATATAAAAATTACTTCTTTAAACACTTACTGAAAATTAACATGAATCCTCTGCTTTGCATATAAAGTACCTACTATAATCTTAAGGCATCATACGTGATTTGCAAATTACAATTAGTTATATGGTAAATTTGTCGCATTAAGCTGACCACGATTGCTATTTAACTGCCAAGCATGACTATTCATTTTTTTAATTGCAAGCATTCGTGCATAAAGTGCAAAATGTGACGATTCATATACAGATATTAAAAAAACTTTCTTCAACGTGTTGTAATAGTCTAACTGCGTTTCCAATGAAATCATATGCACCGCATTAAAAATAAATAATTACAACTAAATGCCAAGCCAATCAACTTTTTGTTGATTATAAGTAGTAGCTAATAATATGTGTGGGTACGGAGTTCCTAATTAAGAATCATATGTGTAAGTAACAATAAGAGAATTATAATTGTCAACACAAAAATGTACAATAAAAATACGTATCTTTTAGCAATTAATAATACAATATTCATATAAAGATAACAAAATTTATTAAATATAAAAATTGACAACTTTTTCAGTAGAATATTGTTATAGTATGCGAAGATAATAAAAAAGTAGCGCTCTTCTTTTATATCTCTTATCTAAATCGCACATTTAAAGTTACAATAATATACCAAATAGGTATATTATTAATCTGGCAATCTAATGTAGCGATAAAGTAAATAATTGCAAAATGATGTTTGTCGAAATGTCCGGGCAAATTCGTTACACGGAATTTCGAACACAAGAATTAATTTCAAAAGGGTTGATAATACATACTCGTTTTACGGCTTGAAATAATATCAGATACGAAGCATATATAAATCGTTCTGTGGAGAACGGCAAACAAGTGTCGAATTAGAAGGTTGTCGATTGGCGGACGCCGCAGGTGGATATTTATACAGCATCAGAAGTACCTGTATCGCAATCATTAATAAATAACGGCATTATGCAAATGAGCAATTTGTCTCTGGGCGGTAGGGCCGCACGAGCCTTCTCCGGTGTAGTCATTTTAAATATAAAATGAAAGTACAAACGTAACGCATGGCAATTTATTTTGGCCGACTGTCACGGTGCGGTAGAGCGGTGGCTCACATTTATAATGAGAAGACAAATGATGCGTTACGATGTGTCCGCATGCCTGTACAAGCACGTATGAGCGCAATGATGACCGACCATTAATTTATCGCACGGCGCAACACGACGAAACTAGGGCTCCCGTCAACGAGTTTTTCGTGTTGATGCCATTTTCGTTGTACCTTTTCTCGTTGTACGTGTTTTATTACACGCCTAAATGGAGACACCGAACCTTTCTCTTTCTCCATCTACACAACATCAGATTATCGTTCGACTCTCGCGAGTTTCATTATTCCCTTTTTCCTTTTTGTTCCTTCGATATTTATTAATGAACACCAATTTGTATGAGTTTCAAATGAATTTACACTCTATCGATAGAAGAGCTTTATCATTCGTTGAGTCCTGCAATTATTACACCTCAGCTACCTACTTGTAAATATCTTATTATGCATTTTCAATGCTGTAATGCAAATTTTTTATAAGGAAAATTAAATGCGTATTTAATTTGTTTGCTAGTTAAATGAATTAATTAGACAAATATAAATACTAGATGCAAGGACAGGTAGTATCACGATCACCGCAGCAGAATTCTACGCTTTTAAATTAATAGAAATCTGTTTAAAAAGTTGTCGCAAAATTGTTCTTGACATTAAAATTCAAGATCCAATTTGTTTGCTTGCATTCTATTTTACTCATCACGAAGACCAAACTTGTCAAAGGAACTATGAATTATAATTCTACCATTCTCCTCAAATGGTGTTAAAGTTCTATTGCCTTTTACATTGACATTATGTATTTGCAATATGTTTACATTTTGCAGCCAGATGAAAAGTAAATACCATGATATTAATGAGAACGCAGCGAATTATTCCTTAGCACACGAGGTAGTTTACCCCAAATACAACAATGAAGCAATTAACTTCATGATTTCAAAATATTACAAAGTTACTTACTATATGGTGTAACTTTCCAAACAAAAATTGAACGGCATCGAAGATACGACTTGATGCCATTAGATTTTTTGCAAGTGGATACGTAGAATACTCACTAAATAAAGTATGCTTTTTAAAAATAGAATCACATTTCCTTATATGTTCATCTCATTATTCCATATAGAAAAATATCAAGTCGTCCATGCCAAAAGAGAATTGATTCAGGAGAAACTTTAATTGATATTTTAATAAATTATGGTTTTGAAGCAACGCAACAAAGATAATGAACGAATCTTCTGATCTAGTGTTTTGATATGACTAATGATTTAATATTATTATGAATAAGTAATTGTTATATATAGGATGTCTCAAGTCTTTCTCGTTAAACCGTGTTAACATATCCTATAAATAAAAACAAAAAAGAAAATATTGTGTAAATATGTAAGTTCATAAATGCCTTATTGTATATTATTAAAATAATATATATTATATATAAATATAGTATGTATATAATATATATAAATAATACTATATATATTATTAAAAAGTTATAATAGGAAAACGAGATAGTAATATACTCCTTTTTCATTCGATACATCATGGAAATAGATTAATCACGCTCACTCTAATGTTATTTCAGAATTTTTACGAACACTGATTGATATCGATAAAATGTTGAATCTATCGGACTATGTTTGATGTTCTACCATTCCAGTGGCCGTACTCTTTAATCCTACAGTGTGTACCTTGGACCTGGCAGGCCTATTTCCCTTTCTCCTCAGAGTAATTATTATTTCATCAGCTTTCATGTGGAAAATAATCATCAAGATTCAAAGATGTGTATATTTGTATTAATATTAACAATTCAAAGTACTGTAGTAAAAGGGTGTAATTAA